TTAAGTTGATGTTCTTACATTATAGTCGAAATGAATATGTGTTTTGTTTTGTCGATTATTTAGTTTAGGATCGGTTTCTCATAAGAGAAACCGGTGACAGTAGTCACCCATCATACCGACGTCCCAGAAACCTTAGTATCGATTCTCAATTAATTTCATTTGCTGGTGAAACCTTTCGCCATGCTCGTCACTTTCGTCTCCGAGATTTGCCGGAAAAAACTTAAATGTGAATGCAGAAAATGAATTTTTAAAGACATATTTATGCCTGGAGAAAAAAGAAAATGTAAATAAGTACATTATAAAATTGTATATAATTCAATATACCTCCTTTTATCTTTGCCTGGGAAATATTTGGGAAAAAATTTGCAAATAATTTAATGCTTTGCCTTTTTTGTCCAACGCCTTAACAAAATTTTTAATGAGGTCCAGCTTAATGTGCAATGGCGGAAGAATGATTTTTCTTCCAAGTGGGACGTATTTGATATTATCCACACCAATTGCAAATTCAACTCTTTCCGGCCAATCCTTAATGCAATAGTGGTTTTTACGAGCTCGGCTATCCCATGTGCAGAGAAAGCAGCAGTCTTTTGTATAGCCACTTTGTACACCGCATAACATTCCAACGGCTTTAAGATCGGCACATATTTTCCAATCATGCTCTTCATATTTGAAGAATTTTAACAATTTCTTCATTCTTCTTCTTCTTGAATGGCGTAGACACCGCTTACGCGATTATACCCGAGTTAACAACAGCGCGCCAGTCGTTTCTTCTTTTCGCTACGTGGCGCCAATTAGAATTTCAATTCCTCCATTACCTCGTATGTTTCCTTCGTGTTTACTGCATGCGCGATCGGGATCGAGGGCTTTTTGTTGCCATTATGCAGTAATACGACCTTCAAGCTCAGTTTATTGCTGTCTATGAACAATCGCCACTCCTCGGAATCAYATGGTTGACCAAACTCTTTGAATAATCCTGGAATGTCTTTGCAATAGCATACATTGTCTTCCTTCGTATAGTGTTTGTGAAATGGTTCGTGACGATTTCTATAATATGTCACCTTAACATGGGGTGACACGAATTGAAATTGTTGCATACGAGAGGCATGTAGCTCAGTTTTTTCCTTGCATAATTGCAAATCTCTAATCCAATCGTTAAGTTGTGCTTGTGATAGAACGTTTCTCTCATTTTCCATTAAAAATTCATTACAACTTGATTTCCCATATTCAGATGATCTTTCAGATACTGCTGTTGACAACGAAACTGGATACGCAACTTCAGCTGAATCTGGAACTGGCAATGAAACGGTAGGTACGTTAGCATTAATCACTTTTCTTGCTTTCCCAAAGCCAAGTACTTTTGTCATACAAATATAACAATATTCGGAGTGACATGTAAGTTCTCGCCATATCATTGATACATTAACCGTGCGATTCTGTACTGTGATACAGTATCAAGTCTCTAAATTTGACAGAGACAATTTTTGAGACTTGAGACGATTTTGCTATTCTGTAAGTGATGGTCACAAACTCTATTACATTTTATTATTCAGAGATGTTTTTATACTTGAATGAAAATAAATATGTCGATAACAAATATTAAATTTTCTATAACAAAGTCAAAAAACATAATTATCAATAAAAATAAAAATATATGCTGGCTTTGTTTCATAATACTAACGAAATTTAAGTAAAATTTATTTATTTTTAACCTTTTCGTGTTTGAGTTGCTTACAAAATATAAAAAAACGAYAATCGATTAATATTTATGGTGATCTCTATTCAGTATGTTCAAAATGGCAGACAAGAGTTCTTTTTGGTTTTGTGACTTGCTAACTACCAGGTCTCAAATTTGAGGCAATATTTTGAGACTAAAGCTAGGGACT